TCTAGATTATATGGTCCAATTAAAGAGTTGTTGTCAGAAGAGAATCCCCTTGTTTATAGGGAAACCACTGCAAAAGACTATGTTAGGTGCATCTATTCAAAAGGGCTTGACGGAACTCCTGCTCTGGATCATTTTAAGCTGTGACAGTTGCCTATAGATTTTGAAGATCAGCACAAAACGGAAGATGACTTGTCACTTGTCATAGCTAATTCTAATCCTTAATGCCTGAGGGAATTTTCATTTGTTCTCCCTTGTTGATGATCTGAATATCGTTTATCCGTTATGTGCAACTGAGTTCGATTTCCTTTTGGTTGTAGGCTGAGTTTTTAAATGTTACTTGATTTAGTTTCTATTATAATTGTGTTTATAAAGATAGAATGGCTGCAAATACAACTAAGGAGATTTCAGATGCTTAGGATTTGTGTGATTTAGTAGGCTTTGTTATATGTGAACGTAAGGCCACACATGTTCTTCTCTTTTGTCATGGATTTAAAGCCATTCATCCTTGCAGGGTAGTTTAGATTGTACATTGCTGGATTGGTTATATTTTACAAATCAAGGTCCAGCAAAAGCCACAATTATGAATATTATTGATATGGAAATTGTAAGTTTGTTAATTATGGAAAGGCTTCCTATTGGGCCGGGTCATTTTTGGGCAAACAAATCATTTATGATAAAAATAATGAGCTTCAAGAGAATGATTAGAAGATTTTGTAGAGTAGAACCATACAGTATTAGACATGAGATAGGTCTTCCAAAGAACAAGGTTTTTTTCGAATAAGCCAATTAATTTGGGATCCTACAAATCTGCTCCTTTTCCTATTCAAAGATCAGCCCCTTGTCTCTATGTTTTCACATCGAGAATTCTTGGTAGATCGGTAGAAATTTGTATATGAACTACTTGTATGTTTACTTCGAGAAGCTACAATATATAAAAAGGAGAGTGTAGGTGCTTTAAATAGAATGTTGCAGACAAGTGCATCTTTGAAATCTTATCTACGGTTGTGCCCTCTAGTAGAAATTTGAAATCTTGTTTTAGTGCAGCAATAGCTACTCTATATATATATATATATGTTAAATTCCGATCCAAATGTATACTCTCCAGCACATGGATCTTGATCCTTTTTAATAATAGTTATTAGGCACTCAATACTACTAAAACTTCATCTGCCCTTTATCAGATTGAAAATTTGTTAATACATTATAAATATGGTGGTGCCTTTTTTCATACGGGAAACTTGTTTATACATCAGAAATATAGAGGTCCAATTAAGAAAGAAATGTTGTGTTCAAATAGAGTGGACCACTATTGATCATTCAAACACAACTATTTGTGACAAATTTTTGTAACAGCATTATATAATAATAAAAGCTACAAAAAATATTTATAAGCTACCATATTATTATGACCAAAAAAAAAAAAAAAACATATATATGTGAGCGGAAAAGGGCCTTAAACCCACACTTGCAAGCCCACTTCCTTCAAATTTCAAAGGTTTATAGTTAAAACATGGCCCATCATTCACTGATACATGAGCTGGCTTTTAATATGTTTCCGGATTCCCATTGCATTTAAAATATGAAAAATAGTAAAATACTACACACACAACCTTTTCTCACAAAGTTCCTCTTATAATCCCTACGTGATAGTTTGTAATTGGTCAACTCGTAATAAGTCTTATCTAAGTCTTACCTGATAAATTACAATTGACCAATTGCAAGCTGTCACGTTGGGATTATGAGAGAAAGTTTGTAAGAAGAGGTTGTGGGTGTAATATTACTCTTAAAATAATGTGTTAATATCTTACCTAATCCGCGCATTATTGAATAATATCAATTTGTAGTCACAACTACTTTTATTATTTGAATAATAAATGTATTTCTTGATATTTGTGGGTCCGAGTATCTCAACCTTTTCCTTAGATTAAAAGATAAATGGTTAAATCTTGAACCAACCCTTGTATTATTAAACACTTTTCTGGTTAAATCATTATTTGACTTACTACTTACATCATTTGAATAATAAATTTATTTTTTCGGTATCCAAAGATTGCAACATTTGCTCTTTTGAATAGGATATACCAAACAAATTGTTAATGTCCCATAGTTTGAAATTATAAACACCCATAAATATTTTTATAAAAACTGGAGATGACTAAATTATATTGTGATGTTAATAACGTGCCAAAACAATTGGATGTTGGGCCATTTCTACTTTTACTTGGTTGATTTAAAGATTGATGGGCCTTCTTAGTTATACAATTTACAATATACCTAATCTTTCTAATAATTGTGGTTGGGTAAATATCACTCACCTCCACTTATTTATTCCAAATGACCTTTGGATGTCAATTATTGTCATTTTAACCAAACAAAATCCATCTTACTAGGGTGAGCATGGTAGCAAGTAGAACCAAACCGGCGGATACAATCAAAACCGACCACTATGTAGGTAGGTTCCGATTCCAATATTTGGAACAGTTACATGCGGTTCGGTTCTGGTTCTTATTGTGCAGGAACGAACTGGAACTGAAACCTGTGATGGGAACATGAAACGGGTGCCCTAGTGGGTACCTACTCGGTTACCATGAATGGAACCTGTCTTGGAAATGAGTACGGGTACCCGAGTAGGACATGTATTGGAACTTGGATTTAAATGAAATATCAGTAAAGAATTGGGGTCTTTGTAACTTTACATATAAAAAATTTAAAATGGTCAAATGGGATGAAATGTTATATAAAAAATTATAGTGTAACAATATCAATAACCTAATTTGATATATATATATGATTAGGTCTTTGTAACTTTACATATAAAAAATTTAAAATGGTCAAATGGGATGAAATGTTATATAAAAAATTATAGTGTAACAATATCAATAACCTAATTTGATATATATATATGATTAGGTCTTTGTAACTTTACATATAAAAAATTTAAAATGGTCAAATGGGATGAAATGTTATATAAAAAATTATAGTGTAACAATATCAATAACCTAATTTGATATATATATATGATTAGGTGTTTGTAACTTTACATATAAAAAATTTTAAATGGTCAAATGGGATGAAATGTTATATAAAAAATTATAGTGTAAATAACCTAATTTGATATATATATATATATATGATTAGGTCTTTGTAACTTTACATATAAAAAATTTAAAATGGTCAAATGGGATGAAATGTTACATAAAAAATTATAGTGTAACAATATCAATAACCTAATCAGATATATATATATAAACTTCACCATATAAAAGCTTTAATATATTATAATAACCTAATCAAATTAATTTATTAAAAATTTTACATATAAAAAACTTTAATATATTATAATATTATAGTTTTAATTAATTTAGAGTATAAATTATAATTGGAATTGGGATCCAATTAAAAATGTTTTAATGTTATTAAAAGAATTGTTTTTGAATAAAATAATATATTTGATTGAGTAATATTTAGTTATTTACTTCAATTATCAAGTTCTAAGTATATATATAATAAATTAGTAATTAATTTATTATATATAATAAATTGATAAACATTAGTACATTGATAGTTAAATGATTACCTAATTATTAATTAATTATAACAGTACATTATAAATATTAGTTATTCACTATATTAGTACATTACTTAATTAAATGATTGGAATTTTAATTAATTATAACAATATGTTATAGTACTTAATTAATTATAACATTACATTATAAAAATTAGTAATTTACTATATTAATACATTATCTAATTAAATAATTAAAAATTTAACTAATTATAACATTACGTTATAGATTTATAGTATAATTAATTAATTAATTATAACATTACATTATAAACATTAACAATCTACTACATTACTTAATTAAATGATTAGAAATTTAATTAATTATAACATTACATTATAATAAAATGATTAGAAATTTAATTAATTATAACATTACATTATAATGAAATGATTAGAAATTTAATTAATTATAACATTACATTATAGATTTATAGTATGATTATTTAATTAATTATAACATTACATTATAAACATTAGTAATTTACTAAATTATTACATTACTTAATTAAATGATTAGTACATTATAGTATGACAACTCATGCCTCATGAGTCATGATGTATTAAGAAATCATTAATCAAACTTAAAGTTAGAGTCATACTAATTATTTAATTAAAGATTCATAAATCATATTAATATTATTATATTAATATTTAATTTTATTCTTTTGTCACAAATTCACAATTAATGTTAATTTAACTTTATTTTCACTCTAGTAATTATAATATTTGTATTTTTGGATAATAAACTTTACTAAAATTTAATTCCCAAAATTAATTCTATAACTATACTGTGTAAAATATATATATTTATAATTTTAAGGTTTTCTTAATTTGTCAGGGGTGTATTTGTAAACTTTTAAGGTGTGTTTGTCATTTTTTTAAACTAATAGGAGAGTAACTGATTTTTTATAGGGTACCCGAGTAAGGAACCAGAACCTGCATTTCAGGTTCCGGTTCCAAGAATCAAAGAACCGTTCCTTTTCCTAGGAACCTGCAGGTTCCGGTTCCCCCAAAAAATGTAGAGTACTCGGAACCGCTCACCCCTACATCTTACTACTCCTATTGACAATCCGTTAATTCATTATTATAAAAATTTGTGAAAAAAGTTTATTTTATCCATACATCAATACAATTATTGTTCAAAATGCACAAAGACTCAAAAGTTTGTATTAAAAAATTGTAAATGTTGTATTACTCTTCAGTAATAATGTTCTTAAAAGTGGTTATTAATTAGTTACATTTAATTAAAAAGTTCAAATAATTGCGTACCAATTTTTTTTTTTAATACTAAAACTTTTTCAAATTTTATATTGTTATCTAATTACAACTGTTGAAGAGTTTATTACTATTTTTATATTTGTTTGATTATGTGAAAAATATGGAAATATTCCTTTTGAATAAAATCAAAATGTAGGATAATCAGCAAGGAATTTCAAATTCAGAAGTTATAGTTTCTGCTGGCATGCACAAATCCAACATAAACTAGGGCTTATTCTCAGACAACACAAACGTAGACTTAAAAAGAGCTATCATCAAACACGAGTTCCTAACAACCCCAAAAATATATAGGTAGGCCTTATTTTAAGAAGTGAAGGTACAACTCCAACTCCAAGAAGCCACAAATAACCATGGCGGACATCACAGTTTAAATGGTGCCAATGCAGACACTCCTGGGGTACTTTTTGAGTGTTTCTGAGCGATCATTTCTGTTATGGTAATTTGGCGATAGATTGGTGGGTTTTCTTCCGATAGCAACTCCTTAATTGGTCCATACAGCCTCGAGTTATTCTCCGGATAAGAACTTGTCCTGAAAATACTTGCTACTGATATTCTTGGGCCTTCGTTTCTTGCCACCACTCTGTGATATGCACTTACAAACTTGTCGTTGGTAATGAGCTGCAGAAACGCATATATTAATAACCACTGCATATGGTAATCCTCTTTCATTGGCAGAAGATAATAAAAGAGATAGTGCTCTACTCTGCTTAACTAAATAGTTTATTTATTTACTCATTTTTTTTTTTTTTTTTGAAAAAGGTTAATTTTATAAAAGAAAGAAAAAAGGTCTAAAGAAGACTAGAACAGATGTACCCATCTTTTTTTACATAAATATGAGAATAAATGTCTAAAAGAGAGTATGCATGCTCCAAACAAAAAAGGAAGATGAGGACAAATGCCCTAACGGAGCTCACAGGGCTACAAGTGCCCAATGAGTTATCCGTTTGGATTGGATATTGGTTGAGAGTGGCACCCAAAACTCAATTTAATTATTTAGGAGAAATTAGTTAGATAATAAAATTTTAAATTTAATTATTACAATTAAATAAAGTTTAATTATTTTAAGTAAAATAAGAATCATGGACTTAATAATTTAAATCCCAGGGAGCAAACTGACAAACCTAACCATCGAGCTAATCCCTCAGGGGTGAAGATTTAAAATTAATATTTATTTTCTTTTCTTATTTTATTTTTTAGCAAAACTATATACATAATGAATAAAGTTTTGATTTGATATAAGATAGACTTGCCTGAATTAAATCTCCTAAGTTGACTACTAGAGCTCCAGCAGTTGGGGCAACGTGGATCCATTGATTTTCATAGAGGACTTGAAGGCCACCGATTTGGTCTTGTAGAAGCACAGTGAGAAAGCCACTGTCAGCATGTGTGGTTGCGCCCATTGTCGATTCCGGTTCTGGGCATGCCGGATAATAATGACATGGAACGAACATTGCCTCTGCACAACCCATGTCGTTTAAGTAATTGGGGTCAAGCCCCAGAGCTTCAGAAATTAGTTGGTATAGGGTAAACCCTAATTTCAGTACCTCATTTTTGTAACTCATCATTATGTCTCTGCAACAAAAATAAATATATATCAACTATATCTTTAAAAACTTAGATGACTTCCCTTTTTTTCCCAAAAAAATGATAATACGTACCTGCATGCTGCGGGCAGTTCATCAGGATTTGGAAAATCTTGTCCCATAACTAAAGTTAAAGTATCCCTCCAACAAGCAGCCGGTGCTTCAAACAGATTAAAATTGGAATTATACAGTACCTTTTTAGTGGAGTATTCGCGTGAGTAGTATTCTTTCTTAATATCAACATCTTGCTCATGAAATTTACTGATCCCATCAATTACTTTATCCAAAATGGTTACTGGAATTCCATGATTGACCACTTGGAAGAAACCGAACTTCTCACAAGCGTTTTTAACTTTCTCAATTATCTCAACGCGTGAACGTTCATCATTTTTAACTCCTTGAAGATCTATGATTGGAATTTTGATATTTGCATGAGAGGAGCACGTCTTAACATCGAGGTTTTGTTTCTCATGAATGAATATCCTGGGGATGTTTGTCACCCCAGCATCTACAAGTCCCTTCACACCAGCTTTTGAGTCATCAAAAGCTTTTAGTTCACGTACTCGCTCATAAATGCTTCCCATATCAATGCTCCAACTTGTTACGGCGGCCTCTCAGAATTTAAGAACGATAGAATCTCAACCTGTATTCTGCATGATAATCAATTAATTATGAGGCGTTTCATTTGGTAATATCTAGTATCGTGGGGGCAAAACAAAACCAAAAACTACGTATATATAACCAATGGCGCATTATCAAAATTAATTTACCTTCCTTTTCTTGTTTTCTATCGTTTTCTTCCTTCCTTCTTCGGCTTCTCTCTGCACTTTTTACGCTTCCTTCTCCAACTTTTGTTCCTTAATGGCTTTTAATAGTAGAATAAATCATCAATAAAATATTGATTCTTGGTAATCGACTTTGCAAGTGCGGTCCAAGCTGTGACGCCATCACAAAACAAAACAAACATTATCACTTTCACTAACCCCATTTTTTTTTTTTTTTGGGCCGCCATTAAGCAATTTGGACTTTAAAAAAATGCTTAAACATGCATTTATTAATTATTTTATTAATCTGTTAAAATAAACAATTTTATTTAATATTTGTTTATTTAACAAATTAATAAAATTTTATAAACAATTTTACACTCAGTGTGGCATGTTAACCGTGGAAGCTGATTGGCTTAAAACCATTTTTCTCCTTTGGTTATCCGGTGATCAGTCAAACCCACATTTTTCTAAAACTAGCAAACAAACCCAAAACTGTGGCAGATGTTTATAAAAAGTTATTGTTTCAGGACATTCATGTCATTTAATCTGAATCTAATAAAATATTTAATTTACAAATAAAATTAAATTATCAAAGAAACCGAAATCCCAAATCAATCGAAAAGTCTCCCAAAGCCCTAAACCTATCAAATTCTAATATAAACCAAAACCCCACCTTCAAATGTAAGAAGACATTTTGAATGGTATTTTAGTATTTTAATTGAAAGTTCTTGTAACTCTCAGTGTCACTGTAAATAAGAGTGTCTCTGCCCCTAGCTGCCACGTTTCAGCCTTCAGGGGCAATGAGGCTAGACCTGGCAGGTGGGTTTGGTGGTACAGGTCGAGTTAAACGGGTACGGGTAAAAAAAGATTGATTCTATACACGTCTGAAATATTGGACCGTGCCCTGCCATATATGGGTATGGGCCAATCCACGGGTACCCGTTTTTACTAGTGAGCTCCAGCCATATCCACCCCAAATCCAAATCACGACACTCTCTTCTTCTCTAATTCCACCTTTACTGTATTATTTCCAATTTATTAATTGATCTTATCTTCACATTAGTTTTTCTTCAACAATACCAAATAAAATAAGATTTTATTTAACAAATTTACAGAGTGTATGATGGTGAGAGTGGCCTGGGCAATTTATCAAGCAGGTGGTGGGCAAGGTGAAAATGGTGAATTCCACAACAAACAAATTCAATCACAAAATCCATTCAACACTTCCTAATCAAAACTCCTAAACAAACAACTTCTCCAATCAAATTTCACACCAGATGGGGAGCAATCTCCCAACTAACACAACAAACAATAATCCACAAGAGATTTATCCAACAAAACACACATGTTGCAGATAGTGGAAGCTGCGGGTGGAGTTGCGCGGTGGTTGTCTGCTGGACGTCGCCCATTGGGTGTCGTGCGCTTGGAGTACGGAGTGAGAGAGATGAGAGAGCAGCGGCGGCAGGTCATGGCAGCAAAATCCCATTGTGATAGTGTTTGAGAATGAGGAGAAGAGTAAGTGATAGTGTTTGAAAGTGATAGTGTTCGGTCTTTGCACTTCGACTTTGAGATTGAGTATTGTTTTGTTTGTGATAGTGTTTGAAAGAAAATCCTAGACTAAAAAAGTTTTTTTTTTTTCGTCTTTCCTTCAAAATATGGGTACCCGTGAGCACCCGTGGGTATACCCAGTCCAACCGTTTAGAAAACGGATTGGGCCGGGTACGAGTCACATAAACACGAGTCTTAAAAAATGTCTACCCATACCTGTTTTCAAAATGGGTATCCGCAGATACCTGCAGATATAAACCCGTTTTGCTAGGTCTAAATGAGGCATCCTTACTGGATTCGAAAGAGTAAATTTCAAAGATGCACTTGTCTGCAATATTGAAATACAACACTTCACTCTCCTTTCTATATATAGGAGCTTCTGAAACTAAAAATATAATAAGTTCAAATACAAATTCCTAGAATTTCTGTATCAAGAATATTCATTGAGATTTTTAATTGTGGCTTTGACCTTGATTTCTGAATTATAAAAACCAATCCTATCATATACAATCTAAACTACCTTGCAAGGGTGAAATGGCACTGAATCCATGACAGAGGAGAAGAAGCACAGGTATGCGTTCACATAATAACGAAGCTTAAAACACTCAAATCCTAAGCATCTGAAACCTCTTTTGTTGTGTTTACAGACATTCTACCTTCAACACATTTATAATAGAAACTAAAATCTAGTGTTGTAAATGCTAAAATCTACAGTTAGCGTGAAGCTTACATAAACACTGGTGTGGTGTCTATCGTAGGCGCTCCGACGCTCAAGTCAGTAAGGCCAAATGGGGTTATTTAATGAGGGCTAAGGGAATGAAAGGTTACTAGAAGTTTAGTCGGAGACTAAAACTACGACGCAGGTGTTTAACTCTTAGGAAAAAGTAGGTGGTATTGGAATTGAATGAATAATGAGAGGCATGACATCTGTTTATATAGTAGTCGTAGGATCCTTGTATCCTAGTAAGACTTTGAATCCATATTGGTAGAGTTCTAATAAATAGGAAAGACTAATTTACTTGCCATAGAAGGAATGAGAGTCCTAATTCACATAGGATATAAGATCTTGAGTGAATTAGGATAAATCCCAAATAGGCAGTAAGCTTACCAAGGTTTTAGTGGAATTCTAAACCCTTGGAGGTTGCCCTGAATCAACGGGTCTGGCCTTATGTGGGCTAATGGTGATGCCCAACATGGAGAGGAGTTGAGCTTAGGACACAGATCTGACCCATGACATGAACTTTAATGTGGGCCTAACTGGAATTGGGCCATGGCCTTAGGCCTATACAATATGAATTGCTTTCTTGGGCCCGACAAAGCCCAAGATGATTTTTGGCCTATACAGTCAACCCCCCACTCTCTAAGTTAAAGAGTACTTAGCTTGGAGAGTAATCAGTCTGACTAGAGGTTAACCAGGCCGGATGACGATGTCCTAGGCCAAGCGAGCATGCCTCCGGTCGAGTGAAGGTAGTCTGTTTTGAAGAACGAAAGTGGTCGTTTGTAGATGTCCCCACTCGACTGACCAAGCCAAGTGATAGGATGTAAACTGAATCCTTTGTAGATGTCCTCACTTGGCTGACTAAGCCAAGTGATAGGATGTCAGGTGTATCCTTTGTAGATGTCCCTACTCAGCTGATTGAATCGAGTGGTAGGATGTTGGGTGCATCCTTTGTAAGCATCCTTTGTAGATACCCCCACTTGACTGACCGAGTCAAGTGTGACTATCGTCTGTTAGAGAAATTTGGAAAATCTTGGACGTTTCAAGAATTAGAGCTCGATTCAGATTGTCAGGCGGGATGAATTTTTTCTGAGCACGATTTGGTGGCACCGAGAGAATGAGACGGGTGTAATGTAGNTTTTAGTCACAACTACTTTCATTATTTGAATAATAAATGTATTTCTTGATATTTGTGGGTCCGAGTATCTCAACCTTTTCCTTAGATTAAAAAATAAATGGTTAAATCTTTAACCAACCCTTGTATTATTAAACACTTTTCTGGTTAAATCATTATTTGACTTACTACTTACATCATTTGAATAATAAATTTATTTTTTCGGTATCCAAAGATTGCAACATTTGCTCTTTTGAATATGATATAACAACAAATTGTTAATGTCCCATAGTTTGAAATTATAAACACCCATAAATATATTTTTATAAAAAACTGGAGATGACATAATATTATTATACAAATTATATTGTGAGTGTTAATAACGTGCCAATAACCAATTGGATGTATGGGCCATTTCTACTTTTACTTGGTTGATTTAAAGACATTGTATGAGCCATTTCTAGTTATACAATTTACAATATACCTAATCTTTCTAATAATTGTGGTTGGGTAAATATCACTCACCTCCACTTATTTATTCCAAATGACCATTTGGATGTCAATTATTGTCATTTTAACCAAACAAAATCCATCTTACTAGGGGTGAGCATGGGTAGCAAGTGGAATCAAAACCGACGGGTACAACCAAAACCGACACAATGTTAGTAGGTTCCGATTCTAATATTTTGGAAAAGTTACTATGCGGGTTCGGTTCTGGTTCTTATATGTGCAGGAACCGAAACTGGAACTGAAACCTGTGATGGGAACATGAAACGGGTGCCCTAGTGGGTACCTACTCGGTTACCATGAATGGAACCTGTCTTGGAAATGAGTACGGGTACCCGAGTAGGAACATGTATTGGAACTTGGATTTAAATGAAATATCAGTAAAGAATTGGGGGTCTTTGTAGCTTTACATATAAAAAATTTAAAATGGCCAAATGGGATGAAATGTTATATAAAAAAATTATAGTGTAACAATATCAATAACCTAATCATATATATATATATATATATGATTAGGTCTTTGTAACTTTACATATAAAAAAATTAAAATGGCCAAATGGGATGAAATGTTATATAAAAAATTATAGTGTAACAATATCAATAATAATAGACAGTTTTTGGGCGTGATTGCCTTGGAGCCATAACATTGTGAAATATATTAAGCAAGATTGGTGAGGGGAGGGGCGACAGCGCTTTCTAAAGTGAGAAGTCCCCATTGAGTGAGAGGCTTGCTCATAATTTTGGGGTTGCCTGTTTCTATCTCTTTGGGGAGCACGTGGTTGAGGGGCGCGTTTGGTTTTGCATTCTTCCTTGGGGTGGATGCTATGATCCGAATATTCTTGTTGGTTTGCTTTTTGGGGTGGATGGTTGTTTTTTTTTTTCAATAAGAGAATAAGAGAGGACGTCAGAGTAGAGAAAGAGCCACAAGGAAAATAGAGGGGAAGGGGTAGGGGGGTAGTAGGGATAGTATAAGAGAGTAAGGGTAAGGAGAGTAGAGAGTATGATGTAGTATAGAGGGTAAAAATATAGAGAAGAGAAATTTTTTTTATAAAAAATATACAAGTAGGTAAATTATGATGACAATAGGGTAATAAAAGGGAGGAGGCAAATAGACGTAGGTACAGAGGGGAATAGGAGGATAAGGAAGGAGAGATATAAGGTAGTAAAGGAGA